CTCTTGTGGATTATCCTGGATAGTGCTGGAACCCATTCTACTAAGTGAAGCATCCCAAAAATGGAAACACAAACACCACATGTTCTCACCACCAAATTGGTTTTAACTGATCAACACTTAAATGCACATATAGGAATGACATTCTTCCGGTGTTGGGCAGATGGGAGGGTGGAGGAGGGCATGGGTATATACACACCTAATGGGTATGGAACGCACCATCTGGGCAATGGACAGGCTTGAAGCTGTCCCTCAGGTGGGGCAAAGGCAATGTATGTAACCTAAACATTTGTACCCCCATAATATGCTGAAATAAAAAAAAATTAAGTTATATGAGTTGGAAAATGTTGCATAAAATATTTTTCTAGTAATAATATTTAAAACTTATTTTTCCTAAAAGATGATTGTTTAAAATGATAATGAATGGGATGTAATTTAATCATATGCCAATGGATAGTATTTTACTAAAAGATATAGGAGATAAATAAAAGTCTCACAAGGGCAAGATGGTGGCTTCCATTAAGGTCACTATCCCTGTGATAATTCTTACAAGAAGTATGAGGCAAAAATACAAAAATATTGAATTCTGTGATGCAAAATTGATAATTTCTGCAGTTATAGTTGTGGAGACGATTAAATTATTTATAGCAATGATGAGGGCCAGAGGAGAATGGGACAGATTCCATGAGCCAAGAGAAGAACCAGAAAATGCCAACATGGATAGAGCTGAAGCCTGGGAAAAGCAGCCAGTCCCTGAGGCCAAGGGCAGATCTTCATGGACAGGAAAGGCCTGTAGGAAAATGTAGAGCATATGCCAGCTAGCCTGACAAATCTGATCACTACAAATGAAGCAGTTTCTGTGTGAGAACAGAGAAGATTATGTGATTATGTATGGGAAGTTCAGTGGTTATTTTGTCTGGTTTGGGGGGAAAACCAGATATAGCTTTTTTTGGAATTTGGAAAAAATTAAATAGAAGAGCTTAATTTTGTCCTGAGGGGAATACTAATACAAAAGCTAATACAAGGGAAAAATCACACAAGCTTTTGGCTTCTAAGAGGTGTTTTAATCAAGGAAAAGTGAATGATGATAATAGGCAGGAAGAACCCTAAATCATTGTCAAAGAAGACCTAAAGTTATAGCAGGTATGAAAATGTCTCTGAAAGACAACCTGAAAGGAAAAACATCCTAAATAAGTGAGACTTTCTGCAGGACTGGGAGCAGGAGTGAGCACAGTTCAAAGCCAGAGAAGATTCTGATCAGAGAGGAAGGTGGCATCTCTCTCTGCTTTGAGGGTCTGGATAAAAGATCACTTTAAGGCGGAAAAACAGGTATGAAACTGTGTAGTGTATTCATTTCACATTCATCGCATTTCATCTCATTACATTCTGACTCAGTTACTCATTTGATCTTCCTAGATTTGCTTAACTACAATGAAAGAATAAATATAACATGGGACACAAGAAAGAGTAACATGTTTCAGGGACGGGCATGTTCCTCAGAAGTTAAAAAGAACCTTTTAACTCTAGGAGCAAAAGAAAAATGATTCATCTAAACCAGGAGTAGAGATTATGGGAGCAAGAGAGTTAGCTTGTGTGTGGCCCCTTCCTGGGCAGGTTGTCCCCCAACCTATGCAGCACCAACACAAGTCAGCCATCGTGTTAGGAAGTCATTTATGTTTTTGTTCTAGCTTCTTCTTATTTAGAATTAATATAGATATAAAGGCAATTTGAGTCTTTACCTTTTCATAGTAAAACATTCCTGGATAAATTTGTCTATAAAGATAAATCAATGATTCCTACATTAAATCTCAATGTAATTAATGCCAAAACTCTTTCTGGATGGCTGTGTTCCAAATTGAGTGCCTAGCATCTTTGAGTCTGATTTGAAAAAGTAGTAAGTATGTCTTTCAAAGGACAGTCTTAGATTTTGTAAGAAATTCCAAGAATGCAGAACAAAAAGTTACTTAAGGAGAAAAATAAGCAATAATGGGAAGACAAAATTTGAAGGAAAAAGGGAATTAAAACTTACTTGCACATCTGATAAAGGGCTGATTTTTTATATTTTAAACATTTAAATCTAATACAACATTCCTTTCATTTCTACAAAATTTATATTTTCCTCTTTCTTTTCATTATTTCAGGCATTTTTGAGATGGGAACCTTCTTCAATGTGCTCTACATCATATCTAGCATTAGCCCTTCAAGGAGAGAGTCCATGTCCTAGAATTAAACTATAGAGGCATATAACTGCCTTAACCTATAATGCTCCTACACAGTTTGGTCCAAAAAGTTTCAACATTGTCTTGTATAAGGTAAAGAAAATAAATGGAAGTAAAAGCTGACTTTTATTTCACTACCAGCATACAACCTTACAAGGGACTCTTCTGGCTGGACAGCATGCTTGGGAAAGAGAATAGTATTGTACGTGGGCAGGAGACATCAAGGATGTATAGATTTTAGTAGCTGCAGGAACATCAAGCTGCCCATACCTACAGCTGCTGAGGCATGTTAATAAACAAAGCATTAGAAACAAACCACATAAGAAGCTTCTCTGCATCGTTGCTACCCACTTCTGTAGCACTGACACCAACATGGGACAGATGAGGCACTGCCACCATGCACAATGGTGACTAGGGCAGGGACACCCTAAGAGCCAAGGTTTGTTGAGAGTATGGAGCATGGCCAGGTGACTTTGGCTTCTGACATCTCATGTTAGACTATTTTAGTGTTTTCTGACCAAAAAGGACATTTTGTTACCCTTCAAGCAAAGTTTTTTAAAGAGTTTTTTTGAATGTAAAACTAAAGTACCATGGTTATGAGTTTGTAGGAATCTTAACTACATTGGTAAATGCCTTTTCAATTGTTTGACACACCATCTTCCTTCTGCTGTCTCCAATCGAGATGTTAAAGGTTTTAATTATTAAATCTCACTACAAATCCTCCAGTGTATGCCATCTGTGATTGCTTAACTAGAGCAAATAAAGGTAAAATATATATTTGTATACATATCTATATTAGTGGCTCAAATTGCTCATGAAAGCTAAAAATAAATATGTCAACATTCTGATATTAATTCTGCTTCTGGCATAGAATGAATTGTTAAAAATATTTATTATATATAATTTTAATTCACAAATCTAAAGAAAATAGTGCTAACAGATAACCACAGTGGTTTATCCAATAAACATATGACAGGGAAAAGGGATTTGTATGATAACATTGCTCTTTAAAAGAAAGAAAAAAAGGAAAGAACAAATTTTGATATAAATAATCAGAATGATAGTTTAAAATAGAAAAGCAAAGTTCATAGATAAGTACTGAGAAAGCCGAAATGCAAAGCCATAAAAGGAATTTCTTCAGGATGAATGGTTTCTGATTAGTGTATGTGTGTCATAAGAATCTTAAAATAGTGTCTTTTTTTGTCAAACCTCTTAATATATGGTACTGATCATTTTTTGAATATTACTTTTGTGGTCAATAACTTTAATGGAAAAATACATACTTTTTTAATTCAGAAAATTATTTACTATATGTATAATGGTTTTGTTTGGATTGAAACGATGAAAATTTTGAAGTGAAAAGATTCATTTAACAAAATTATTGATGCTTTAAGAACTATGTAGGTTAAAAATGGAGTATTTTAGTAAAAATAAACATTGTATTATTTGGTTTAAATTATAAATAGAAACAGTAAATTAAAGGAAAATAATATTTACAGCTGGCTGGAAATTAAGATAGCTCCGCTACCAGAAATAGAATTCACGCTGAAATCAGTAAAAATGCTTATCTTGGATGAAATCAACTTTCACTATTGGATTTTCTTCATGGACTTTCTAGTGTCTGTATTGGTACCTTTAAATTCTCCACAGCAATCTCAATAAGCATCCTGGCTAAAAAGCAAAAACAACAAAAAACTTCTCTATTGAACGATGAAATTGCCATGGTATAGTTTCCACATCCTAAAATTTGCTCTGCATGCCTCCCTAGTAGGTGTCAGATAAAGTGAAAGTACAAAATACATTTTAAAACTAATGTTTTATATAGTAATATTCTTATCACTGATAATACAACTGTATTGCATATTGATCTTTTTTCTGAGTCATTTTTTTTGCAAAGTTGATTAGAGCTGATATTGACAAATTTTAGACTTCTGCTTTCCAGGAATATATGACTTCAGCTGTCCTAAAATTTCATGAAATGTGTACTCAAGATGTTTAAATGATTTTAACCGTACATAAGTAAAATGTCTAACCCAAGAATCAAGATAAAGTTAAGTTTCATTTATCTGTACAAAGATGTAGGTTTGTTAAGGGCATGAAAGTCACTGAGTTCAATATTTATATAATTTCTTATCCTTTCAAAATTTCTCTTTTGTTTCAATTATAATAAATTTGTGGTACATCTCTAATAGTCACTAAAATACAGAAATAAAAGCCCTTTTAAAATGTAATAATAAATTAAAATGAACAGATATAGTCAGTTTTAATATAAGTCATATGCTAAAAGTTTGAGTCTATCCTATATGCTTGGCATTGTAAAATGAGATTTACTGATTTCTTTAATAAAAAATGAAAAATAAAACAAAGAGCAAGGTGAATAGAATACAATTAATTCTTCACTTGCTATCAAGGCTTATTATTAATAGTACGAAACTTGTTATTGCTCCATTTACTGCAGATCAGCATTTACTACTCTAGTTGGTTAGAGGAAGATAAGCACAAAGCAATATCATATGTAAAATTATAGAAGAAACCAGATAAAGAAAGTCAATGAGTTATATCCAATGCCAGGTCATATAAAATTCCCAAATCCTTTTCTAAAATTTCTAAATCCAAAGGTGAAGCACGGGCAGGGTTCTGTGAGAACTTGCCTAATTTACATCCAAGTTTAAATAAGGAGTTTGCTATAGCCATTCTTGTCTGATTATTAATCAGTAACCATTAAAATACACCAAAGTTCAGCCTCACAATGGCCTTTGTAAGGATTGACTGGAAAGATGGTACCTTTATGCTTAATCCAAATCCTCCCACTGCTTGTCTTCTGATAGTCACCGTTCTTTCCTGAAAGACAGGATTTTAAAGAGTGGTTAGTGTTTCCTAATACTTTAGTCACACACCATTTTCTTCCTCTGCCTTTTGCTTTTGAACTTTAAAAGAAGGAGAGGAAGAGAAAGAAATACTTTGTGATAGCATAAAGGCTCTAAATCTTGCAATAAAGGCAGTATTTTATAATTTTTTAACCAGAGCTCTATTTTTCAAAATGAAAGGACCTATATATAGTGTTATTATACTCGATTCTTAAAAAATATATTCTTTGCAATGATTATTTGTGACATACTTTGGAATCTTAACTTTTACACTTCTCATTTTCACATTATGTATTCTTGCTGTCTAAGAAATGACAAGTTTTAGGTCACACGAAAGTAACCAACGTCAATAGTAAATACTATCTCTGTCAGTCATGCCCCTTTGTCTGTCTCTGCGCGCGAGCCGGTGGGAGGCCGCTGTGGTCCGCACAGAAATGATTCGTGTGTGCCTCAGATGAAACGAAATAAACCGGGTTCAAATTAAGTAATTGCTTGTTTGAAAACAGAATGCATTGCGTACGTCAGTAATTATGATTTGGGATTATCAATTTTCACAATTAGTTCCCCTTTTCCTTCCACAATAGAAACAATAATTCAGTCACTGGCTGGCTCGTGAAACTTAAAAATCACAAAGACGATGGGATGAGCACAAAGAGCCACACTTGGACAAACTTTGTAATTACAAACTTAAAAACCCAGCGTTGTTTTGTTAGGAGAGAGTCGACTCTGCCAGGCCTACAACACGGGGCATACGCGGGGCACACTGGGAGGCGCACGTGGGGCACACTGGGAGGCGCACGCGGGGCACACTGGGAGGCGCACGCGGGGCACACTGGGAGGCGCACGCGGGGCACACTGGGAGGCGCACGCGGGGGCACGCGGAATGCATGCAGCACGCAGCACACAGCAAAGGGCTGACAGCTCGCGTTTGTAACCTGCTGCGCGTTCGAAGCCTCCTGCGCAGAAGCACTTGGAGCACTGACTCTTTTCTATTAAAGAATTCATTAACAGGAAGTTGAACATTGCAAACAATATTGGAATTGAAGTCAGAGAATATATCAATAACTCAAATATCCTGAACTAAATATGTTGGCAAGTTACTTAAGCCCTGTGAGCCTCTGTTTCCAAACAAAATGCTGATAAGTCATATATAATAATAACTTTGTTTGAAGGATTAAAATTTGTGAAGGGCCCTGGCATATAGTAGAAACTTAATATTAAAACACAAAAACAATCTATTATTCTAGACAGAATTTTAAAATAATTATCACTTAAATATACAATTCATATTTATCTACCTTATATTTAAATATTTACACAATAGAGTAGCTCAAATACTGAAGGACTCAGTTTCAGTGATAGGTGAATTAGTGACCTTTATTCTTTTAACAGTAGTAAGCAAACTGCTTTTATAAAACTTCTCATCCAACTAAACTAAAGTTCTTGGATGACAGAAACTACTTCCTTTAATCCTTTCCTGTAAGGAATAAATACTTGATTTCTTAAAATATTACCAAAACCAACCGGGCAGTCTGCAGAGACAACCCATAATCATTTGTCTTAAAATACAGATTTCAGTCAGAGCAAATGCATTTTAATTAGCAAATGGCATCATCTAAATTTTGTAGAACATCCTGTGTATCAATCATTAGTCATGAGGAAAATTCAGTAACTGTGGTTCAGTAGCTAAGTGTGCACTGAAATGCTGCTTTCCTTTTAGAGGAACAGCAAGCACATCAGGGTCCTCAACAGTCTTTACTGTGCATTTCTTTACTCAGTTCTCTACAAGTCTGCTGGCTGATCCTTGGTGGAGAATATTTATAATATGTTCCAAATCAAATTCAAAATTGCTGATCCAGAAAGGAATTTGGAGAGATTCAATAGTCAGCAGAATCTGCCCCAAATCTCAGAAACAGCACTAATTTTAATGTTTTTTTAAACACCAGGGCACATGCTCACTCCAGCCAGCACCTCCATATACTGTTGCTTCATTAGGTTTCGTTAAGAGAAATAAGCACAACAAATTATTTCACATTATATACCCAAAATTTTAAATTGGTGACTGCAGGAGCAGGAAACATAAAGGGGCAAGCAATTGTTTTCAGTCTGGCACCTTGTTGACGTTCTTCCAGTTGTTTATGTTTGTAGTACCTCTGTCACTCCATCCCCTTTCAACCCCAAAAAGATGGAAAAAGCAAATAAGTGAACTGTTTCAAATGAGACAACACCTGGAAGCTCATCTGAAATTGTGTTCAGTTAACACATCATTAGTGCCATAAAGATTGTTGCCTGGTAACAATGCACTGTTATTTGGGAGACCAATATATTGCTAGTTATTTTATTTTTTAAAACACAAATCCAGACTGGTGCTCCTATACACTCACATATGTAAAATGTTTTCCTTTAATCTTCCTATTCTTTACAAAATTCAAAGGATTGAGCCCAAGAATAATATTGGACTTTATGAAGATATTGCATACCTAAATAATCAGCATTAATGTTATGAAGAAGGCTTGTTTTAAATACTTAGTATTCTTTTTAGAAAAATATTATATAATTATTATAACATATGATCTCTGGAATATGATGTGGGAACAAAATGAATGTTACCAAGAAAATGTTGGCATTCTACACCCAGGTGTAGAAATACTTGAGATATATATGCAAAAGTGTTAGGAAAAAGTGGAAACAATGCAGAACTAAAGAAATAATCAATTGGAAAATTGTACTGATTTTCTGTGGTAGAAACAAATTATGTGGGAAAAGATATATGGAATGTCTTTAGCTATTTTTGACAATTAAGGAAGAGAGATTAAATTTGAAAAAAGAACTAATAACAAAGATGTTAGCTTTTAATTATTAAAAATCTACTATGTGCACTAACAGCTCTCAAAGCATCTATGATCATTTATCAAAAGAGAATATGCCCTTGACTCTTTCTTCCTCAACAGGTTTCTAAAAGCTGATCTTATGCCTTGCTCACAGTTCTATCCCAAGTGTTTATCAAGGGCCTAAATCAAAGTTAGGTATTAAGGTGTTAAATGAATAAAGAGCTGTTTAAACAACTTTCCAAATAATCATCACAACAGCTCACTGGCAAAGGAAATATTCTTTTCTAATTTAGAGATTAAAAAATATGAAATGTAAGGAATTAAGATAACTTGACTAAGGTCCAAATTCTGAATGAAACCAAGGTTTCTCTAGTTCCTGCTATCCTTCCTATTTCAACAGGCCTGAGAAGAGATGGAGAATTAGGGGGAAAAAAAACAAAGCAAACAAAAATCCTCACAAAAAACCCACAAACATAGGGTACAAGTTAGTAAACAGGGAGTCAATTTTAAGAAACTTAATGTTTCCTCTCTGGGATCAGGAACTAGGTAAAGATGACCCTGATTACCACTATTCTTCATTGCCCTACTTGAAGTCCTAGCTAGTGCAATACAACAAGAATATGAAATAAAAGGCTTACAGATTGGAGAGAAAGAAAGAAAATTTGCTTTGTTCTGTGTCTATGTAGAAAATACCATAGAATCAACAAAAATCTCCTGCACTAATAAGTAATTATAACAAGGTAACATTAATACAAGGTTAATATATAAAAGTCAATTGCTTTCCTATACATCAGCAATGAGAAATTGGAATTTGAAATTAAAAGCACAATACTACTTATAATAGCACACAATGGAAGGAAAATATGTTGCTATAATTCAAATGAAATGACTACAGGATTTATATATGAAAACTAAAAAATCTGAAGAAAAATATCAAAGCTGATCAAAATAAATGGAGAGATATTCCATATTCATGGATTGGAAGACTCAATATTTTTGATATGTCAATTCCTCCCAACTTGATTCATAGAATTAATGAAATCCCAACAAAATCTCAGCAAGCTATTTGCGTATATCAACAAACTGATTCTAAGATTTAAATGGAAAGCCAAAAGACCTATAATATCCAACAAAATATTGAAGAAGACAAATAAAGCTGGAGGACTCAGGATGCTTGACTCAGGACTTAATTATAAAGTTACAGTAATTGAGAAAGCATGATATTTTTTAAAGAATAAACAAATAGAACAGAAGATGAATTAAACAGAACAGAGAGCCAAAATATGGAAAAAATAACAACCAAAAAATAGAATAAACTATCAATATTGAAAAAGGTATCTAGACATAGATGTTACACCCTTCACAAAAATTATCACAGAACAGATCATAGAACTAAATATAAAAAAATGCAATATTATAAAAATTCTAGAATAAAACATAGGAGATAATCCATGTGACCTTGTGTTTGGCAATACATTTTTAGATACAACACCAAAAGCAGAGTCCATAAAAAATGCTGATTATTTAGGATATATTAAAATTAGAAACTTCTGCTTTGTGAAATATATCCCACTAAGATAATGAAAAGACAAGCCACAAACTGGAGGAAAATATTTGTAAATCATACATCTGATAAAGGATGTGTATCCAAAATACACAAAGAACTCATAACACTCAATAAGAAAACAAATAACCCAATTGAAAAATGACCAAAATATTGAACACTGTACCAAAAAAGATATACGAATGACAAGTAAGCAGATGAAGAGATGCTCAATATCATTTATCATTAGGGAATTGCAAATTAAAACAACAATGAGATAACATTATACACTTATTAGAAGGGCTAAAATTGAAAACTTTGACAATACCAAATACTGGTATTTAATCAAAGAATAAAATGTGGCATATATATACCATGGAGTACTATTCAGCTCTAAGAAACAATGGTGATATAGCACATCTTATATTTTCCTGGTTAGAGCTGGAACCCATATTACTAAGTGAAGTATCCCAAGAATGGAAAAACAAGCACCACATATACTCACCAGCAAACTGGTATTAACTGAGTAGCACCTAAGTGGACACATAGGTACTACAGTAATAGGGTATTGGGGAGGGGGGGTATATACATACATAATGA